GAACTGAATTTTGTACATCGGCTTTGGTCAAACGAGGATCAGGACGACCAGGCTACAGAGAAGCTTCTTCCCACATGCTGTCACTCTCCTGAGTAACAGACTTTATTATTACAGTTTTACGTCATCTTATTTGTCTGTCATTAATTGACACAGTGATGTTATTCACTGCTGTACACAATATTTGCTTTTCTTATCTACACTCTGAGCTACCAAAACCAAAGTCCTTTTATGCGTGAGCGTACATGGCCAATAAAGCTAGATTCTGATACGGTTCAGTGGACACGAGCCGTGAACATGATTAAATGTTTTTGGCCTAAACTGGACTCCAGACAACCCAGCTCTGAAAGGGTTAATCTCACAGACGTGTTCCTTTCAGACCCAGTCAAGCATTTTAACAGCAGGCTATTTCAGGAAATAAAGTAAACAAACCGAGTACTCTGTCTCAACACTGATTTATTTGCGCAATCTTCCTTTACAAAAACTGGAGTTCACATTGTCTAAAAATGTCTTTTTAGTTTTTGTTTTGCAAACTACCTTACAGCTATTTTAACTACTCATAGTTAAATGTTCAGTTTGATTGGGACAGTTTTTTTGTGTTTCATTTTTTTCAGACTTTTCAAAAATAATTAGCTTTGTTTAAAATAAATCAACTCATACAAATATATTAATCAAAACAATAAACTCTTTTTTCCTTCAAAAACATTGTTCTTTTTTAAAAATCTGTACTTTATGTATTTCTGTCTTTTTATGCTAYTTTTAGCTTTAGCTCTCATTTAGCTTCTTTTAGCTGTTTTTGCTCTGTTTAGCTTTGTAGCTGCAGGTATTAGTAGCTTAGTTTGAGCATTTGTTTAGCTAATTTTAGCTTGTTGCTTCTAGCTATTCTGCTGCTGCTTTCAGCTTGTGTTTTGCCCATTTTAGCTGCTGTCCTGCTTGTTTCAATTCAAACAACACACTTTTAGCTTCTTCAGCAAAGTCCTTCATTACACAGTGTTCTCACTGAATTTGTCTACTTGTTCTTATATGTTTTAACACATTTCAAAGTGTCATAATATTTTTGGCAACTAAGTTGCATAAAATGTGGTGGAGAAAGTAGTCAAAAAAGCATTAGATTTAAAGCAAAATAAATTAAAGAAGTGCCTGTTGTCAAATGTAAATATCAAGAAAGGTCACAAAAATCCCACAAATGAATTGGCAACCACGATGAGGCGGTAAAAGAGTCAATCACAAACACCTAAAGAGAATAGTCCATGGGCTCGATGATCATTGGTCCCACCTGGAAAAACAAACAGAACCTGTTTTTATTTTAGGGAAGGGAATTTTGTAACTAACTGAATATTAGATGCAGTATTGTATTTTATATTTTCTGATCATTGTAAGTAAGATTAAAGCAGACAAAGAGTTGGTGTGTGTCTTATCATGTGTTCTTTCTCTTAGTCTAAACAAAAATGAGTATGTTTGACGTAAAAGGAAAGCCCCTTCAGGGGTGTAAGCAGGAAGAGATGCACATTATAAGGTCAATTCATTAATATAGCAGAGAGAAGCTGTTAGTGTGTTGCACAGTCTGCTCAGAGCAGGACTCCTGTGATCAGTGTGCATTGCCAATGCAATGCACACTATTGTGATTCGTTTCCCATCCAAGTCATCTCAACTTTGCCATGCTTCTCCTCCTGCATACTTTGTCCTAGAGCTGCCATTGTAATTTTTTATCTGTAAAGCCCCTGTGCCAAATGATGGCTATGCCTTTTGGTGCCTGTAAAACTTATAGTTTTTTGAAATATTAATGTTTAATAAATTATAATGACAGTCAATGGAGCCTTGTATTGGTCCAATACTGCCCCCTGCTGCATCTACACAATATGGTACTGCACCATAGTTTCATAATATTTAAACTCAGTACTTCAGTGATTACAATATTAATATGATTGTAGTTTGATGTTTTACTGTAATACTGTCTTTATGTTGTCCTATTGCTGAAATAAATTGCACTTAAGTATCAATAATTGCATTGGCAAGGTAAACTTTTTCTGTATACATACAATCCAATCCCTGGGATTGTCCTCTGTCACATCTCCTATAGTCTCATGATGAGCACTGTGGGCTTTCATGTGGGAGATCAGGGTTCAAATCCAGCTACTGCAACTTTATAACAAAAATCCCTTCACACTTAAAATTGTCACACAATTACCTTAATTACAAACACCTGATGACGTGACAGGCTCAAGCTGGTATAGAAAACACATTTGAACTTGGTCAAAGTTCATTCTGAAAAGTCCAATGCTCCTGCCTACATTGTCCTACAGCTGCCATTGTAATTTCTATCTGTAAAGGTCCTGTGCCAAATGACTGCTATGCCTTCTGGTGTCTGTACCGCTTGTAGTTTTTGAAATATTAATATTTAAACTTTATTCCAAATTTATATAATGAGAGTCAATGGGGCCTTGTAATGGTCCAATACTGCCCCCAGCTGTACTCAACTTGGTACTGCACCATAGTTTTTTTAATATTTAATCTCAGTAGTTCAGTGTTTACAATACTAATATGATTGTATTTTGATGTTTTACTATATCATTGTCTTAATATTGCTCTATTGTTGTAATATTATGCAGTTTAGTGTTAATAATTGTATTGGCAATGCGGCCTCTTTCTGCACACATACAAACCAACCCCTGCCACCATCTTCTGCCACAGCTCCATTGGTCTAATGATCTATGACATGGACTTTCATGTGGGAGATCAGGGCTCAAAACCCAGCTAACGCAACTTAAACAAAAAATCTCTTCAAACTTCATATTGTCACACAATTACCTTAATTACAAACACCTGCTGACATGACAGGTACAAGCTGGTATGGAAAACACATTTGAACTTGGTCAAAGTTCCTTCTGCAAGTCCAATGCTGCAGGCAAAGCAATGCACACTTGATTTTACATCGTAAAAACCCATGTCTAGTTTGTTTTGGTTTTCAGCTCAAGGTCTTACGTTGAGGCCGGCTGGGTGCTGTACTGTGAACCTGATTGGAGTCAGAAGATTGAGAATAAAGTTTTGAGAAGAAATCCAGTGGATTCCTGTTTTATTCGGACATACCCTTTCGAACAGCGCATATTTTTCTACATTAGGTTTAACTTCTAGACCCTTAAATGCTTCAAGACTAAAATAATTGAACATGTCAAATGTGTTTTGTTTTTAGTACAAAGCAGGCATATAAATATAAGTGAAACATATAAGTGTAATATTTTGTAATTTAGATTTTAGCCATTGAAATTGTTATTTTTCGACCCAAAACGTTTTATTTTGCTTTTCATTTGTTCTTTTATAATGAAGCTTTGCAATAATATGTAACATTCAAATAACCTTGTTTCTGTGTCCAAAAGAGTGTAAGGCAGGTTCTGGAGAGCCAGCTGCACCCAACCCAATTCAACACGGCTGCCAACCTCAAAAGAACCCAAACATGGCTATAACTTGGTCAGTTTTACAAAAATTCTGCTAAAATTTACTGCGGTAGTAGCTGATAGTTTCTTTCAATACACACTTTAAGCGTCACACATTGCTTGACTTTTTTTCTCGCCTAAAACTTTGAGATTAACTGTAGTAGTCAGCCCTCTCTGYCTGTTAGCAAAATACCTCATGAACCACTGCAAGGATTTTATTGAAATTTCCAGTAAACAATCATTGGGTGAACATCTAGAACTGATTAGCTTTTTGAGTCAATCCAATTAAAGATGGCCACCACAGCTAATCAAACCAGCCCCCACAAAAATGGCCATATCTCAGTCAAGCTTACAAATATTTAACTAAAATTTGACGTGGTAGCAGCTGAGGGTTATTCTTAATATATAATTTGAGCATGAGCTTCTCTTATAGGCCTAGTTATTTTAAGTTTTATTTTTAGATATTGTATTTGTGGCTTACCTTCTTTTACTAAGAGGGTGTAGGCGTGTTCAGATTGCCATAAAACATACCGAAACTGTATCATAAATAACTAATTATACTTA